TCTGCATCCATTATTCTCCATGTCGATAATAAAAAAAAAAAAAAAAGTACATTCACCCACTTTATAAGAATAACTCAAAAAACACATAAACATCAAATGTCTTTCTTTGTTATGTACAGTTTTTTGGGGTATAAATGTAACAATTCCATTTCGTTCTAAAATTACATACAATGCAAAACATTACGAGAAAAACAAGATGTGTTTTTGAAACAATGATGCCCCCGTATGGCAACTCATATCAAAGGTTAAACTTTCTCAAATGGAAATCAAATATGTTGGTACCCAAAGTAAGGTCTTGTCTCGATGAATATACCTTAGATATATGAAAGCCCTAGCAGCAACCATTGAATAGATATGGTAAAGGTTAAAGTTTTTTTTAAAAAAGAAAGTCAAACATCAAGGTCAAGTTCAAATGGTCAAAATTAATGGTGCCCAAGGAAAGGCCTTCTCAACAGAAATACACATGTGAAATATGAAAGTCCTAACGCCAACCGTTCAAATATTATGGCCAATGTTAGAATCTTTCAAAAGTAGGTCAAATTCCAAAGTCAAAAGGGTAAAACTTGTTGGTATCCAAAGTAACACAAGGATTACATATGTGAAGTATGAAAGCCCTAGCACCAACTATTCAAAAGTTATGGCCAAGTTTAAAGTTTTCCAAAAGTAGGTCAAACTCCCACTCAAGGTCAATAGGCTATAATTGTTGGTGTCTTAACGAAGGTCTTGTTACAAGAAATACACAGGTTAAAAATGAAAGCCCTAGTACCAACCGTTCAAAAGTAATGACCAAGGTTAAAGTTTTCCAAAAGTACGTCAAATTCCAAGGTCAGGGTCAAAGTTGTTGGTATCCAAAGAAAGGTCTTGTCACAGGGATTACATATGTGAAGTATAAAAAGCCCCCTAAAACCAACCGTTCAAAAGTTATGGCCAAGATTAAAGTTTTTCAAAAGTAAGTCAAACTCCCAGGTCAAAACCAAAGGGTCAAAGTTGTTGGAATTCAAAGGAAGGTCTTGTCACAAAGATTACACATGTGAAGTATGACAGCCCTAGCATCAATTGTTGAAAAGTTATGGACAATGTTAAAAGTGGGTACAATTTTGCAGAACTTGGTCGATCAAACTCCTAGGTCAAAATAGAAAGGCCATATATGATGGTACTCAAAGAAAGGTCTTGTTACAAGGAATACACATGTGAAATATGAAAGCATTAGCTCCAACCAATCAGAATTTATAAGCAATGTTAAAGTTTTTTGCGGACAAATAGACAAACAGACAGACCGACAGACAGACGGAGGGACGGGGCAAAAACTATATACCCCCGAATATTCGATATGGGGACATAAGAAATACATGAAAAATTACTACTCCAGAGGGCCAAGTCTTTTTTAAATTGGTACAATTACTTAATATAAAGAATGTTAAAGTTAGGAACATTTTTGTACTTAACTAATGCAAGAAGAACATTTTCTAATGAAGTTTACAAATTACTAAAACTATTATTATGTGTTATATATGGTATTTACAGTACGTTTTGTTTGATGGCAGTTTAACCATAATATGTACTTAAATGTTTATGTTTGTAGATATTGTCTATGAGAAACATGTCTCTTAACTCTAATAAACTGAACTGCATCATTGCATACATCGTCGCAAACCACGGCCAAAATGTACGATCCTGAGAGCGCTGTATGCAGACTCCGGACCGTGGCCTGAGACGATGCACTGCATAATAAAATAAGAGGTCCGATAACACATCATTCTTAATCAAGATTTTTTTTTATCTTATTTGTACAGATACCATAACGAAAAGTAAATCAACAAATTATTTTTTTCTTTTCTGTAAATTCATTATTAAGGACGCACTGTCGTTCTGCTAGAGAAATGGTTCAAAACAGAAAAAAACTCCCATAACATCTTATTACTTTAGCAATTTGTGTCAAACAATTTCTCGAAAACAGAAGAGGTTGGATGTGAAGCTGTCAAAGAATCCGTACTTAACGAACACAGGCCACTACCGGTATCAAAGGCAATGTAATCACACGTGTCGTCAGTGAGACAGAGTCTGGTGCACAATAACCAGCTTCCGGCGGAAACAGTTGATGTTGGTGACGCCAGGGTGAGCTGTTTTCCCACCAAAAGAAACTTGGAACACCAATACTGAAGCCGCTCTAAAAAAATGTTTCAATCAGAGTAAAATGAATCAAACAACTAAAAAACCTTTCTACCTGCGAATATTCTTATTTCATTGAATTATAAAAGATCACAAGTAGGTGAAACCAATTTAATAAATGAAATAATAAATTTTCTTGAATTCCTCTTGTATTTAGTCTTTGGTATGTATATTTCCGTCAGTATATTGATAATTTTCATAAACCAAACGTATGGAACGCTATATTAACATAAATTAACTCAAATGATTAAGATATCTTAATTATTTAAAGACAACGTCAATTCAGTTGATGCTACCAAGATTTCCTATAACAATTAATGAAATCTTCATTCTCTGAACTGAACTGAATTATTGCTTGCATTAATTGTGTAAACCTATAGGGTTTAGAATTTAACAGACATTTTATTTGAACATTTTAAACTTGGAATATATTCATATCATAATTATTTTAGTTATTAATTATAGTCAATGAAAATTGATATGGGGATAACGAACAGAATTCAAGCTCAAAGTCCATCAAAACAATACAAATCGGGAGCAGAGCAAACACAGACCTCCAAAAACAGAGGTGGGATCAGGTGCCATGCAGTAAAACTTATAAGTGACAATAAAATAAAATAAAAGTTTAGGATGGATATTAATGGTGTACCACAGGCAGTGACTTTACAATTGGAAAAGGAACTTTAATTCCATGAACTATGATTATCTTGTTGGAACAAATTGGATTTTGACGTTGGTACAATGAACTATAATTTTGTAAATTCGTTTTTCATGGAATTGATCAGAATAGACCAATCAAAACCATCGATACTAAGTAATAAAATTTGAACGGAAATGCAAAGTAACTATTAAGATTCTTGACCAAGAGCAATAAAATTTGGAACTTTGAAGTAGATAAGTAAATAAAAGAGCTTAGGGCTAGAACACTGAGGCAAAACTTGGAGAACAAGACTTTTTTGAAATTCCTTTGATTAATGAAGAAAAAGTATTTAATATGTTAAAGAAGCTGGATGTAAACAAATCTGCTGGCATTGACCTTCTTGGACCTAGATTGCTTAAACTTTCAGCTAGTATAATATCAAAACCTCTAACACATCTAATAAATTCTAGCATAATCAAGGGGTCTTTTCCTACACAGCTAAAAGTCGCAAAAGTAACTCCTCTATTTAAAAAGGGTGATAAATCAGACCCAGGAAACTACCGCCCAATTTCAATTTTACCAACTATATCAAAAGTTTTAGAAAAGCATGTAGCAGAAAATATACGCATCTTTACTTCTCACTTCGATTTATTAATGAAAGCACAGTCAGGATTTAGAGAATTTCACTCATGCCAGACAGCTGTCACAAAACTAACTGATAATTGGCTGCATGCAATAGATCAAGGAAGTTTCGTTGGCATTACTTACTTGGATTTTAGCAAAGCATTCGATCTTGTTAATCATGATATACTAATTAGAAAACTTAAATGGTATCACTTTGATCCATTATCAATTAAATGGTTTCAATCATATTTATATCATCGAACTCAAAGTGTAAAAATAGGTGCATACACATCTGAATCACTGCCAATCACAACAGGTGTGCCACAGGGGTCTATATTAGGCCCTTTATTATTTCTATTATACATTAATGATTTACCATTGTCTGTTGTACATTGTAATATTGATATGTTTGCTGATGACACTACAATGCATTTTCATGGTAACAATATTTCACGTATTGAAACAACTCTTAATCATGACCTCTATCAAATACAAAACTGTTGTCAGCAAAATCAGATGCTTTTGAATACTGATAAAACAAAGTGTATGTTAATGGGCACACAACAAAAAAAAAATCAAAATTTGAAAACACTAGCCTTCATTTACAACTTTCCGGTCATCCCCTTGAAAACGTGGAAATGCAGAAATTATTAGGTGTTCACATTGATCATACTCTTCAATATACTTGTCATGTATATGCAGTTTGCAAAACTCTTACATATAAATTATTTACTTTACGAAAAATTAAAAATTTTCTTCCACTGCATACTAGAAAACTATTTTATAATGCTTTTATTTTACCATCAATTTTATATTGTCTATCTATTTGGGGTAACTCTCCTCAAACGCACATCGACAGAATCTACAGACTTCAATAACGTGCAGCAAGGATTATCTTAAATGAAAAATATGATGCACCTTCAATGCCTTTATTTAACATTTTAGGCTGGTTAACTGTTCATGAACTTCTATATTTACAGAAAAGCATTCTAATGTTCAAAGCATTTCATGGTATGTCTCCCGATTATATGCAAATTTTTTTTGAATTTCAAAGTTCTGGATCATACACGTTACGCTCAGAAACAAACTCCGAACTTCGTTTACCAAAATATAAAACAAATTTATTTAAAAATTCTTTACAATATTCAGGGGTTATTATCTGGAATGAGTTACCTATTAGTATCAGGAAATCCCAATCCCTTGCAATATTTAAAAGTAGTGTTGAAAATTTTTTACTTACGAAACGTACTAGTTCTACTACGTAAATATATGTGACTTTTTTTCCTCGCCTTTTCACATTTTGAACTAAGCTTTGATGTTTTTATTTATTCTGTTGTAAAATAGTGTTTATATTTTATTATCTCATAATTGTGATTTGTGTTTATTGTATATACATGTATACATTGTATATGTGTTATAAAGAAGGCCCTGAGGAAGACTAGTGCTTGCACTAATCAGGTTACCTTCTATAAATAAAGTATTATTATTATTATTATTATTATTATTATTAACTCCTGTGGTACAAAGATCGGGACTGAGTCCATTAATAATACTAATGTAGGTATACCTTGAGTGGAGGCTGGTGCCCTGTTTGGGTTCATTGGTCAACGGACAGATCTACGAACCAAGTGTAGGTGGCAATGCAATGGTAAGACAGCCAATAAAAAGTAATTTTATATCCAGGACCATGAACATCCTCTGAACATAAAATACCCTGTTTGCTGGAAACACGCACCTTTTTGTCACTTATCTTTCGGACTTTTCTTTTGTTACTTTTGTTTTGTAATTCTCGATCGGCTCTTCTTGAATATTTTGAATTAACCTTAAAAACGTTTGTTATTATTAGTGCGTTGGTGTACACTGATGAACATCCAGTCTTTACTATCACGGAAAATAAACTTTTGAAAAAGATACATCTTAATATTGGCTTACACTTGTTGAGAGATCAATTATTTTGTTGGTCATTTCAAATGAACCTAGACCGTTAGATATAGCCTGGTGATAATGCAAAAATGCTCAATCAAATGATTGTGATAGGGCGCTCGCTTGGTGATCGGGAGGCACCGGGTTCGATTCTCGTTCCCGGTGCAGCGTCAAACCTAAGACGCTTAACATACGTAGTGACTATTTCTTCGCCAGGCGCCCTGCATTAGAAGTGAAAGAACGGAGGTAACGTGTTACAGTAGGCTTTGGCACAATAAAGAATTCTCACTGCTCAATGGCCCTAAGTGCCGAGTAAAGGTCTAAATTTGTAGCCCTTTGTGGTGACGTCTCATATGAGTGAAAAATTCTCGCAAGGGACGTAAAACAACAATCATACTATTTATTATATCAACAATTGAACTGACACGCGAAAAAATTCATTTGACGAGAACAATAATTATTCCTTTCGAGAGAGAAAGAACAACATTAAGTAAGAGATGATTTATTGATAATCTTTGTTCATGTGTTATTCAGTGATTATAATATTATCAAGTGAATAGATGTGTGAGTGATTGGTTGCAGGGTGACGCTTTCTTTAATATGAAAAAAGTGAAGATAACAGTGATCGATCGTTTAAAAAGACTACAAACAATGTACATTGTCTTGGGGTGAGTACTACTAGTTAAATTGAAGTAGTCACCTTGTAAGGTTTGAGGTAAGATCAAATTCTTATTATTGTGTAACATATGATTAAGAAACTGGCACTCGTTTAACAATCATTTCTTAGCACACTCCTTCTCAAACACGATCATTTCTGTTTTACTATAAGACTTGCACTTGGAACCATTTTAAATTTCTGATTAACTAACCAAATACTCCTTACCGTCTAGTATAATTGTATATAGATTTTCAGACAAATATATTAAATTTGCGTATCTCATTGTTATCTCATCTCATATATATGAAGATTTTTTTTTCCTTTGATATTTATTTATTTTTCTAATTTGAATAGAACAAATATTGGACAAGTTCTTTACATCATTTACCTTAAGTTCTGTGCAATAGGCATTTATCTGATGTACAACTCGGAATAGGGAACCCTTAAGCTTGCAGCAAATACTGTGCACAATATTATCCCTACGCTGTGATTTTCTTTGATTTATCTATTATCATAAAGACAATTCTCATCCCATCAATCAAAGCTACTATAAGGAACTAATACCTGAAACCTCCCACTGGTTTTAATTTTAGTTCAAATACATGTATTTTCAGGCAAATAGATCTCTTAAAAATCAAGATATCGCTTCTGTTTCATCTGGTAGGTATTAAAGACATATTTTATCTTAATATTTACATTAAATTTTTTGTAACAATCAATGCATTAATACTTTCATCTTTGCAATGATAAAGTACTTCATTTTCTGACAGCGAATCTTTAGAAAACTGGTTTTTCTCAATGTATTCATTCTTTTTAAAGTAAATGATCGAGACTCGTAACCACTTCTGGAATCTTTTAAAAAGTAAAAGATAAACGCACCCGAACATGGCCAATTTGTGAAGTAAACAATAGATCCAGGATATATACTATATATGTAATAATACCAGAATTTACTGGACAGAGGGATGTTTTTATTAATTAAGAGGCAATCCACCAGAAAATCAGGCGGCAGTATTGTATTACTGTGTGTATAGGCGGCACATCATATGTGACGAATATTTGATATTTTATTGAAAACGATATTAATGTTGTCCATATGGAATAATGTAATTGAAGATTTGTTTGAAAATGGCTTATTCACTAGAAAATCGTTCTGTTTTGTATTCTTGAATTCCCATACATTAACCATTGAATGTAGGTCGGAAACAAAGAGCTCTAAATTTTAATACATTTTAATATTCATTCCGAAATAATTTAATTTTGGTTGTATTCTAGCCTCTGACTGGTTAATATCCAAATAGGAACACAGGTTGAATCTATATAATCTGGTTGTTTTTATGGGGACACGCCCAATGACAACCAGCTGAATCACCCCTCTCATTTCCAGTCCATTGCAAATTCCATATTTAATAAAGTTCTGTACCTTTAACTTCAAATAGTAACTCGATCTTACCACATGTGAATAAGAACATGGCTGCTAGACCTATGTTGTTATATTCCTGTTATTAGTCGAGCGTTTTAATTACTTTCGTCTATTAGTAAAAACAGATTTTATTATCTTTTGCTTTATGTGCGTGTCTATGATTTGAATGAATAAATGCGTTTATCATGTGTGTGTTTCTCCGGGTCCGTCTCTCATTAAAGACTCCTTAATCTAACATGATGGCAGCGGTAAACTTGTGAATAATGGACTAAACGGTGCTTCAACCGTAAGTTATGTCTAATTTGTGCATTTTTCCCTTTATTTCGGGAACCACGAATATTGTCAACTCGACGCACATATGAGGTCACTGAGTGCGTCAGTTCATTTTTGAATGGCATTTGAGGACTCTAAAGTATTGCCTTTCCTCAACTATCTATTTAATATGATATATTACAAAATATCTGTATATCATAGTGTTCAAGGACCTGGAAAACTTTCACTTGAAGGAGATGCAGCTCTAAATTTCCGCCGATTTGAGCGCGGTTGGAAGGTCTACGAGGTCGGTGCTCGTGTCAAGAAACAGGATGCGACAATCCGAGCTTCCATTCTCCAGTTATAATAGACCGCAGAAGTCCTAGAACTACTAAAAACGCTTACCTATGAGGACCCAGATCACCGCAAGGATGCCGATCGTATTCTCAAAGTGCTTGAAACTCACTTCATTGGTTCTACTACTAATGAAACTTACGAGAGATACAAATTTAACGGAAGAAAAGGGAAACCTTTGATACGTTCCTCGGAGCAATCCGTGTACTCTCAAAGTCCTGTAGTTTTGGTGCACCCGAGAACTCTTTACTCCGTGACAAACAAGTGTGTGGTAACAAAGAACACACAAGACGCAAACACCTCGCGGAATCGCAAATTAACCTGGCAAAAGCCATTAACATACGTACGGCGGATAAGTGAGCTACACAGCAAGCATCCGAAATAGGCATGTCAACAGACACAAAGGAGAAATTTGTTCATAGTGTAGAAACTCCACGTGACTATAAACTTTCTCAGAGGCACCAGAGAGGACCTACTCCACAACAAAGACCACACAAAGGACAGACTCAGAGACAAATAAACCATTGCAAGTATTGTGGTGGAAAACATGCATGGAAAAAAGAAGCATGTCCAGCATATGGAAAGACTTGTAAGAAGTATAAAGGAAAAATATTTTGCTAAGTACTGTAAGCAAGGTGTAAATACTCGTGTTAACAGTGTAGAAAAGGGTAATGACTATTATGCGGAGCCTGAGTACTTGATAAGGCAGGTGAGTACTACTAGGAAGATCTGGACTTCTCTGTGTGGAACTCATGGTGAACGATCAACAAACAGCATCTCAGATAGACACAGGTGCTTCTAACAATCTCATCGGAAAGAAATGGATTGGTGACACTACTATTATCCCATCGACCAGTACTTTAGTGATGTGGAATTGCTCGCGTATGGAACCTCATGGGGAGTGTATTCTGAAATAGTAAATCACAAGAACAAGACAAAGTACAAAGTCAAGATCGTAGTTGACAATGACGACTTAAGTCCACTCCTCGGACTCAATTTATGTACTCAAATAGGACTCATAACCATAAATCCGGTCACGTTCAATCGAGTGAACTCTGTTTGTCCGACTGTTGCGTACAAGGATGTATTTGACGACAAAGTAGGACAACTTCCTGGAGAAGCACATTTGAGGTCGACCCCTCTGTCTCGTCAGTTATATCACCAGTACGAAAGGTTGCAATTCACATGAAACCAAAAACAAAACACAAAAGGCACTAGATGATTTGACAAAGAAGGCCATCATAGCTCCTGTTAACAAGCCCACCAACTGGCTCAGTAACCTTGTATGTACCATTAAGAGAAACGATGAAGTCCGGTTATGTTTAGATCCAGAGGATCTCAACAAAGCACTAAAATGTGAACATTTTTATCTCCCTGTACTCCGTGAGATGCTACCTGACCTAGCATATGCAAAGGGTTCACAACATTTGATCTTCGTCACTGATACTGGCACGCAAGGCCGGATGATGAAAGTAGTTACATGACAACATTTGACACACCATTCGGAAGGAACTGTTGGCTACGACTCCCATTCGGTACCAATGTTTCCTCAGAGATGTTCCAGCGACGTCTTTTTCAAGATATAGGTGATTTGAGAGGGATTCTGAACATTGCAGAAGATGCATTACTCTATGGTGTTGGTGAGACCAAGGAAGAGGCCATAAAGGACCATGATGAAAAGTTAGTAGCATTTCTCCAGCGATGCCAGGCAGTTTGCATTCGACCCAATCCTACGAAGATGGGATTGAGACTCTCTCAGGTTGCAAACAAGTGGTCTTACAAAGTATGGCTGTGTCTCCAGAGTCGTATTCATGACGAGTGTTACAAGAGAACGTGGCTACCACCCAATACGTATTACCGAAGTTTGTCTGATAGGTGTTAACGGGTGGCGGGTTTGGGCTACCACAGCTTACTGTCAGGAAAGACCAATAGAACAAATAGGAAGGTTTATATAGATTGTTTTTTTCTTGTTTGTAATTAAGACTTGAAAATAATGTGTTTCATATGTTTCTATATGACCGATTGGTGTAAAATGGTATGATGGCAAGTCGAAGGATTTCTCGTCATGAAAGTCTTATTAGTGAATTAAAACTCAGCAATTATAGTTTTGACAATTGAGAATCAAAGAATACTAACACTCAAGGATGAAACTGCATGTAATGCCATTAGGTTACTGAAAGGTAACTGAAAATGTACTAAAGGTGACTAAATAGTAGAGCTCTGTCATGAGGTCACCTTTATAGACCTTTCAGTGAACATTCAGTTGGTCGAATGGAACAGTGTCATCCTGTGACTAAAGTTTCTAAAATACTTACTTAATGAAAATGTCGGATAACTTACAGCCGGGTTTACGAATCTTATAATTCCAATATCTAGAAATAAACATAAAATTCACTCAAACATTTTATGGATATATATACACTGCAGTTGAGGATAATAAAACAGTCATAAACAATGGTATCAGCAAATAAAAAAAAATGAAAAGCCAGTCTCTAGATTTTTATCGGGGTAGACGAGGTGGGGGTGTCCGCCATTTCAGGCAGAAACAGATTATGTTTCTATTCATGTCTGTCTTTCTGCATACATTTTTAGGAAGTTAAAAACGCATTTCGAAAAACAAATATAAGGAAAAGTTTCAAAAAAGAGGAGGTATAAGATTTTGATTTCGATTAAGCTAGAAGATACGAATCTATGTTAAGACTACCTGAAGCTTTAAATTGCATTCAAAACACGAATCATTACATTGCCATCTCGGTTTTATCTTAATTTGTAAACTATATACGTTTATTTACATAGGATGAAACTATGCTATTCCGTTATATGAACTTTAACTGAACGGTGACTGAACAGTAGAGCTCTGCCATTCAGCCACCTTTCCAGACCTCTCAGTGAACATTCAGTTGGTCGAATGGAGCAGTTTCATTCTAGGTTAATCGAACAATGTTCGTATCTTCACCTTTATTATTCACAGCCGACTTGCATCAACTTTCAGCAATTTCCTGTGATGCCACATGATTTGGTTGATCACATGACGGTAAGTTATATTTTTTCCAAGTGCTGTAGACAAGTGATTAACGCGGTTATTATTATAATTTTCTGATTGCATAAATGATCTAATCGAATCCTATTGTGCTTGGGTCCTGCACTTAATTTTTTTAATGCATATTATTTGCTCGCTAAAAATCAAACAGGTATGACAGAGAGGGACTTTAATAAGTTAGAGCAACATCAGACAAAAATCTAAATGAAGCAGGAATTATGTATATGTGTAAATTTTTACTTCGACAAACTGCTAATGATCCTGTCCAGTCACCGTTTTCATCACACATGCGCGTAGCGCTTCCGGAAACTATGGCGAACCCTGGATTGCAAACGGTTACTGCATAGTTTAAGTACTCCAATCCTTGATAATACACCCTTCCATCCGTAACATTGGCAAAATACGTACATTTTTTAACTAAGAAAAAATAATGCACTAGTAAATAAAATGTTATTTCTAATAAAGTTTCTCAATAATCATTGCCATAATTATTGAAATCTGTCCTGACTGACTAGCAATGAATGTGAATACACCATATCTTACTTTCACAGGAGGGTGCTATATTACTCCAGTTGCCATGTTGTGTACATTCAACCCGCAGACTTCCGGTCACTAATTCGTAACCCTGGTAACAAGTGTAGGTCTGAACGGATGTAAATTCCTGATTCCCAACGTCACTGTTAGCATGATCCAAAACTGCATTCTGAGGTGTTCCAGGGTCGCCACAATTTAACTCTGAATGTGAAGGGAAAATGTAACTAAAGGCAATCTTCCAAGGGTACCTGAGAACCACAATCAAACGTAGCAAAAGAAATTATTTATTGATAAGAAGTTTTAATATATTGATAGCGGCATGTCCTTTGATGATAGAGATATTTGCTAGCATATATATATTTAACAATTGATCGTACCGTGGCTTCGAAAACATACATCAAGTACATTTAATTATAGACAAACTCCACAGATAAAAATGATTTCAAGACAATAGCTAACAAACTGAACAGAAATGCCATCGAGAGATAATTAAACAGCAAATAGCAGCCCTCGATCTCAAAAGAAATAAGATTTTGATGTTTTATCCGACTGTTGTGTATGTGATTTAAATCATAAGAAGAATGTACTTTTGCAGTTGAGAGCTGTTCCGTTCCAGAAACCAGTGGTTTGACAAAGTATGGCCGTGTCTCCAGAGTCGTATTCATGCCCAGTGTTACAAGAGAACGTGGCTACCGCTCCATAGGTATTACCGAAGTTAGTCTGATAGGCGTTAACAGGTGGCGGGTTTGGGCTACCACAGCCCACTGTCAGAAAAGACCAACAGAACAAATAGGAATTTTTATAGCAGAGCTCTGCCATTCAATCAACTTTATAGACCTTTCAGTGAACACTCAGTTGACGGAATTGTGCAGTTTCACCCTGT